GACAAACAATGACTTGGTGTCTAGGTTGATACACTCTACTCTGAAAACTGTAATGTCCCAAATTTCACTGTCTTTGGTGCATTATTAGAAGTGAAAATCGTTGGGCTGAAGTTTCATTTAGTACTGAGTAGATGCCGTCAAAATCGGACGTCCCGGCTTTTGGTGTGAAAAATTGAAGATGGCGTTTCCAACCGCATTTGTTTTTCGCGCGTTTTCTCGCTTGTCAAGGTTGACTCGTGGTAAAAGTCGGCTTTTCAGTATTGTGGAACCATAGTATACAAACACGCAAAAAGTCGTTTTTTTTTCTCTTACGTGTCCCTTTAAAGCAGCATTAAGACCGGTACTTTACACTAAGATGGGCTTATACGTTCAAATACGTCAATGCAATAGAATCTTGTAAAATAGAACTGGAGCAACGAAAATAAATTGCTTTTTAGCAACAGTGGTTGATCGAGCAATCACTTCTTTCATTTATGGAGTGAATTCTTTCATTATTTCTTGCATTTATTCATCGAATAATCTGCCAACCAGATGTCAAGTAATGAATGTGCGAGGTCCTCTGCGTGCGTAAGCGTGAAAATTACAGCATTTTTGTTCCTTACGGTTTCTGCAGCGTCTTCGACAGCGCCAGTTTAACTGAGCGAATATTAGAGAAATTTCGTAAAGCTGGTGGGCGTGGACTCCGTATCAGCACCGCGCTCTACGCAATATCAACATCTCGCAATATACGTAGATGACGCGACGACAGCCACGCTGTAGCCGAGCTTCGGGCAGCGGCGTATAATGCATAGGCGGCATTCACAACGTCTCTAAGCACGCGGCTGTGAAAACGAGGCAGCCCGGCCGTGGGGGCGGGAAAATAAAAGCGCGGAACGCCAGTGGAGGACTGGTGCACCGCAAGCAAAGGGCTGCGGCCGCGTGACGAAACGTGCGGTGCGCGTTTTTTGCGCGTCAACCCGCGGCAGCCACAGCGGCGAAGCGTCGTCGTCGCTACCACACAACCACGCCCGTCGAATGACCGCGCCAACATTCGCATGCACGCAGCAACAGCAACGCAAGCTCAAAGGAGCCGAGATTTCAAAGTCTCTTAGAGCGCGCTCGGTGAAAAAATCAGGACGCGGTGATTAGGGCCACGGGGAGATCCACGGCGGTTTTTTTTTTTTTTTTGCGTAACGGACACCGGGGTTCCGTAGGAAGCTGGAAGGAAGTTTGTTTACTTGCGCATATTCTGCTTGCAGTGTATGCGCACAAGGTAAGGACCCAGCAGCAGCTGATCCTTTAAAGAGAAACCGGTAATGCTACATACCTATATTAGGCCTTTCACACGTGAGCACACGTGCGCATCATTTGCTGTCATTATCGTGGTCATAATTTTATTCTGCAACCTTCAAACTTAATCTTCATGAAATATGCCTCATTATTCCATGGTGAAGGGGTGATTAATGCCAGAGAAAGCATGTGTATATCAATAAAGCGAGGAACACACTGGCAAACCTTATGTGTATAGTGACTTCAAACATATATTTTCGAGCCCTCAAGTACGTTGGTGAATGGACGAGACATATGGGTGTCCATAATTATGCGTCCGTGTTGATCCAGCACGAATCAACTCCAGCATTGAGCGTGAAATCATCATACACTCTCTTTTTTTTTTCAATGATTGCTCATTCAGTAACACCCAAAGTCAGCCACCCCGACGTATGAACTAAGCTTCAAGCACTCTGTACGTGGGTGAAGATTCCACAGCAACACAGCTGAAGCGAATGAGAGTTTTATTACAATTGGTATAGAAATAGTATACACACAGCGCACGGAACAATCGTAAACTCTTGGGCACTGAAATTTAGGGGCATCTTCAAGAATGCCTGCCAACTAAAAAATTTCGAAGAATTCCCACAGCACCGCTGTACAAAGAGCAGGAGTGATAATTTAAGGGTTAATATGTACACTTCCAAAGCCACGAAGAAAAAATTCCGTCCGCTCACTGAGCTCAGTTACGCTCGCTCGAAATGCGTGAGTTTGATTTTGGCCGAAGTGCCCACTATGGAAGCGAAGTATACCAAAAGCCCGTGTACTGGACGAAATCGGCGCCCGTCAAAAAAAATAATAAAAAACGAAGTGGTCGTAATTTCGCGGTGCCTTACACTGCGGCGTATCTCATAGCAGGAATGGCTTATAGAGGTAAAATTCCATATAATGACAAAATTGCTACAGCTCCTCACATCCTCCCTTCAAAAGCTAGATTTAGAGTTGAATCGCTTTAAGACCTTTAGCTAAAGGTGCGTGTGTCAGGCGCGGATAAAGAAAAGAAAAACTAACCAGACTGCTTCCCTGATATAGGGCGGCTAATACATGCTGTGCATGTCGTGACACACTTCGTTGCCTAAAACTTCAGCCTGCGATCGGACACCTACACGAATGGGCTTGCTTCCCGATATAGGCTGCGTCAAAAGCGATTCATCGTGTGGCATAAGCATAAAACTATACGCCACTATGTGTCGAAGTTTGGGCATATTTGCTCAAGACCAAAAAGGTGTAAGCTTGGCAGCTAGTCCCCGTTCAAACTCAAAGCGACCGCATCGAATTCCTCTATAAACACCAACCTCTGGCTGCATGGGCAAACGGCAGGGTCGTCCACCTGCCAATCAAGATCGCCGGCGCCTTTTGAGCTACTTTGGGCTTCCGCGTTGTTGTGCAGACGAGCGAACCCACCTTCACCGCCGGCTTTCGCTTACAGAGGCAGTTCGTCTCACGGTCACCACCGATTGCGAGGCAGAAAGCGTGCTTCTCAACGTCCTTCGGACACGCTACCCAATGGAAAAAGTAAGAGTAGGAAAAAACTGCACAGAGGGACGAGCAAAGGCTTTCAGAAAACGGCCGCATATTTTTAGGCCTTTCACACACGCAGCCCCATCGAGAGGGCGACTCGTGTGACCACGTATACGCGATCTCCTCCGCCGAATCAGGTCAGCAATGCACCGGCGGCGACGGCGCGTATGCGTCAATGAAAAGGACCGGCGGCGCGGTGAAGGACAGACAGGCGTCCCACCCGCATGCTCGCAGTGCAAAGTCAGCGCGAACGGCGCGTGCACCGCGCACGAACTCCATCCACCTGAACACCGTCGCTCTCCCAAATAGCCAGTTCCTTGTTTGGCTAAGCGATTCGACGAGCAGCTCCACGCGGGTCCACGGTCTCGACAAAAAATGACGCCGACGCGTCGTCCGCCCAGCAGCAAACATTGTACAGTAGCGCTTAGTACCAGTTCGCTTTGGGCAAATTGCCCCGTGCATTTCGTACCGTTTTAGGCGTCACGAGTCGTTGAAGACAAGACAGACGAAAGCAGGATTTAAAAGGTCGGCATTCGCTGATCCGCTACAGACAAATCGGAGCATTCATGGTAAGTGGCTGGAAAAGCTTAGTTCATTTTTACGACATTCCCGACTACTGTTTGCAAGCTCATTTTCTATTTGTTGTCTGAGAAAATTTTCTCTTTCTATTTAGGACAAATCCCGACGAAGGAGTTGAATGGTCTCTTACGTTTGCGCTGTCACTTTCTAATATGTACGTTGCCATTGTCCAAGATACTTCACCACGAGACCGATCTGCGGCAAGACTGCTTAGTGAAAGTGCACTCGTCCAACATAATGAAAAGCTCTGTTCTCCATCGCATGCCATCATTAATGAATTTTGGCACTTGTCGAAGTACGAAGTTTCTTTGAGCAACGGGCTCAGAACGCGAACTTTGACGCTTCACATAAGGTCATCCTCCTGTAAACAAATAAACTTCAACCACACGGTTGACGTCAGCGTCATTTGAAGCAATCTGTTACTACTGAGGCGTGTGTACATCCCCTGTCACGCCCTTAAATGTCGCGGTACAAACCAAAGACACTGCCTCCTACTCTCTCATCTTCGAGGGCAGCGGCAATGTAATTATGTGGCACGTACACACTCCATGGCACACCGTTGAACACAAAACATAGGATGCACGACAGCAGACGCAGCTGAAGTCGCAAGATGCCTTGTGCGACGATCCATCCAATGAGAGCAGCAACAATGCACCTACCACCACTAGCCAAACTACACGGGCGCGGAGCGATTGTTCTGGAACTTTAAAATTAGGCTTCTGCCTCGATCGTATTTACCTCACCTCTAAACTCTCCTCCTCGCCCAACAAGATGCTTTCTGAACCAACATAAGAACCACGCCCTCTCCTCTAACCGACTACATACTGTGAGTTCTTTCTCTCGACAATTGTTATACTTATCATGGTCAGCTATCTTCCTCATCCAATTACCATCTCAATCTGCGTGCAACGACATCGTGACACTTTTCTTGGTACGTTAAACAATGAGGCAGAATTTTCGGCTTGCTGAAACTGCCTGGTTGCGCTTGGTGCGTTTGCAACTAAATACTCAAACCAACTAAACGGTGAATATTTCCGGAAACGAGCAAATGCCCTGAGTTAACATGGAGAAGGGAGGTTATAGGCGAAATTCCATAAAAGCGTCGTTTCGTTCTCGCGATGATGGCGCTAGGACTGCGTGTGCACCAGTAAAGAGCAAAAACTTTTCCATGTGGTTTCGCCAGATCTGTACAATCTCGAGTTACTTTCGCTATGGCTCCCGGTTTTTCTAATGAGAGAAAAAAGACGCAGACTCATTCAGAGCGCGAATTCTGATTGTGTGCTCAAATCGATTCCTTACAGAAAATATTTATACAGTCAGAATGCCTTTTGAAACTGTCCTTATAAAACTTCGAAAATTTACTCTTCGTTGAACAAGAGGCAACGAGGTGTGCGCATATGCAAAATAATTTGAGTCTATTGGCTTCAGCCCAAACCGCACAGTTTGTAAAATGCTAATGCTGAAGTTACATGTGTGAAATCATACTCTTGAGGATTTTTCTAAGCACTTACCAAAGCGACATATTTTGAGGTGTAAGCCCATACCGTGCAGCCACTCATTGCTAATTATTTCTTTTTTCTTTCTTTTTCCAGCCTTGACAAGTCAAAGCTGTCGGACACACCACCAAGTATGCCACTCACATCTCGACACTATACTGCCTTCACACGTGTGCGTTCGCTGTTGAAGAGTGAACGGGTGCATCGAATGGGTGCAAAACATATATAGTCTTGGCCATCGCTGGAACGTGTTCGTTGTACGATGTGCCGACAAGGCACGCAGTGTCCAGCCGCTCAAGTGTGCTCGCGAATCGGAACATGCACCATGGCGCACTAAAATGGTTACAGGGCACAACAAAACTAAAAAAAAAACTAGTGCCTATAGGTTTTAGGGGCTGTAAGAAAGCCGCTTCCAGTCCCTCTAGTATACAAGGCGCTTCCATTGTGGCGGGCGGCATACTCCCAGAAATTTTATGAGGTTTGATAGGTAAATGTCTACAGTGCGCGAACAGTCAACGCAAAATATAATTTTTACGCTGCAATAATGAATAAAGGAGTACGAAGATCACCCCTTCCCCAGCATTCACTCCTCCCAATATATCATAAAACATTGTTCTGAAACCAGCGTCTGTCTCTAAATGAGTGTGTTTGTCGTAGTAGAGCAGTCGTTATGATGTTCGGCTGCTGATGTTACAGTCGTGGATGTGATTCCGGCCATGGCAGTCACATTTATGATGCAGCCGAAATGGTAGAAGGCCGTGTACTGTGTGATGTCAGTGTGTCAATGGGTGCATAAGAAAGCACCGGATGGTCGAAATTTCCGAAGTCCACCCCTAAGGCTTCTTTCATAAGCATATTGTGGTTTTCGGACGTAGATACTCACATATTATTAGTTTGTTGGAGTGCGTTTAGTCAATGGCAAACGAAGGAAATTGAGAAAGACACGTGCGAACTATGAAAGAAGCCGTCTTGAGCCTTTCTTCCATGTCAGCGCACATTTTTTGGGTCAGTGTACAAGCGTAGATGTGCGGCTTTAGCGGCATTTAGCGGCATTTTTGCTTAGTTCAAGACAATGCATTTGCGTTCAAGACAAGATTTACAAGAATACATACAAGCTGCTTGCTTGAAATGAACGAGTTGGAAGTTCCGCTCATGTTATCGTGCTAGTGTAATTTATGTGCATGTTGCCTTTACTAGCTGCATAACGTCATGACGCTTCTAACATACTTGGAAACAACTTAATGACGGAACATCGTACTTCGAGTATTTACCAACGCTCATTCCACGATTTTACTGCGCGTTCAGGAAGTGTCGGTTGTCGCGCACTATTTAAGAAGCGAATCCTGAAAAGAATGGCCACACTTGTGCCCCTGCCGACCTTGATCGACAAACACATTCACCGCTTTCACTGCTCTGTTGTGAACGCTCTCTCTCCCCTTCTCCCTCTCGGAACAAAATACTCTAGTGGACACACAGAGTGAGCCGCGAAGGGGCCGCGGTCCAATCAGTGCACTGCTTGTCACCCCGGCCCACGCAGAACGGTCACATTAGCCAAAACGGGACAACAACGGCAGCCGTTTTATTGCTCACTCCCCAAATAGGCCGGAGCACCCTTCCTTGATGTCACGATGCGATGTTTCCTCTCCTGTACCACCACGTATAGTAGCCGCATTGCGCGGCCAAACGTGTGCGTAGCTTCGGTGAATTTCTGCCACGCCAGACACGACAGCTGCCTTCAGCGCGTGCCTCGATCTCGGTGAGGCCCATCTCCCGAAGAAGCGCCTTGTGAATTGGGCCCACAGCTGTCGTCACTCTTTCGTAGCTGTATTCATTTTTTCTTTTCTTTTGTGGGACTCCCAGTGCATCAACTACAGAAGAAACGGCGCACCGGTCCTACAATGACAAGTGGCACGTATGCTGCCGACGGCCACTGGAGTGCGAGAAAGGCTGGGAAAAGCGCTGCGAAAATTCCGAGATTCAGATATTGACCGAATAAGCTGCTTTTGCAGCTGTAACTTGTCATTACCTTCTTTATGAAAGAGCCCCTCAAGAGACGGTGGTGACTGCCTTTCCTTTTCTTGGGCAAAACCTTCCTTACAACCGGAAATATGAGAGCTTTACGCCAGGCAACCCACGGCCGCTTCGTGTATACGTTTAACACTGTTTGTCTATATGCGCCAATGAATGTAGCAACAAATTTCAGTGATTATATGGTCCAGCACTCTACTACAAAAATTAATCAGCCCTCTCATTCACAAAAATTGTCCCTCTAAGTTCTCTTTCCTTGCGCCAAGAGGAGTTCTTAAGGATATGCCCCACAATATGATTAGCTAAAATATTTTATGAAGAACAAAATTATCATAGGATTTTTTTTACATATGGGTGCAGAGCTACGATATACTACAAAAACGAACTCCCAAAGCGTAATGCCGTGTCACTAAATACGTTCGATTTCTACGTGACGACCGCAAAAAAAAAAAAGAACCCAATCTTTCGACGATTAAATCTCTGTTGATACCTCCATCCTATATGCGTTATTAGAAAAGTCAGCGAGGAGTCCAGTTACACAACGTTGGATGCATAGTCGTGAGACTAAACAGCATTTTTTGTTACTGGTTGCACGGCCGCGGTTATACGTCACTTGATAATTCATAACAGTTGCGATAAGAATAAAAGAATTGTAGCAACTAAGTCAATCTGTATAATCTATGGCTATTTAAGGTAACGTCAAAAATAAGGAAGCGTTCAGAAACCGTTAAAGGCAAATGCACGTTCACTTCCCCCTTCATCTGTATATTGGAACATTTTTTTAGTCCTGCAGATAGATGTATGGTGAACGCCTATGCGTGATGCGCATTCTCTAGACTGCATTGAAGTCAGAAATTTTTATTTCTTGCCTTTTCAGTTTAGTTCGAGTAATCACAATTACATGTCGTTATGTTCATTGTTTTTGTTATCATTATGTTTCGTGTGATTTGCGCCTAAATAAGTGGCCTAGGCAATGCACCGATAACTCGTATTATTTGTTGTAGGTAGGAGGTGCTTGTAACGAAGCTTTTTGCGGTGGCGTAGAGTTGTTACACACGAAAAAGAAGGGGAAAGCACTTGTTTATTGCGATCTTGTATGTGCATCTGTGCATATCAAACATATTGATAGAGTTGGGTAAAAAAAGGAAATATGTAGGACGAATAATGGAAATGGCGTCTGGTTTGCTACCCTGCATGTGGAGAGAGATGAATAGAGCAAAATGGGAATGGAAACAGGCAAGTACAACAAGGAAGATCGAAGGCACATAGAAATATGGCTTATGTCGGCATAATGTTCCCGGTATGCTACTTTTATTTCTTGATGGGATCTATAAAAGTTCAAAATCTATCTATCTATCTATCTATCTATCTATCCATCTATCTATCTATCTATCTATCTATCTATCTATCTATCTATCTATTTATTTATCTATCTATCTATCTATCTATCTATCCATCTATCTACATATCTACCTATCTGCCTGCCTGCCTGCCTGCCTGCCTGCCTGCCTGCCTGCCTGCTTTGTCTCGGGCAAATTGCTCCTACAAACGCTGGTCTCTATTGATGTAATCGGAATCAATCCGACGCAACCTAAAAGACGAGTACAGTGAGATTAAAAAGCGTTCAAAAGTGGCCTTACGCAAGTGGCCCAAAAACTTCTTCAAGATCCACAAGAAAGCCACAAAACAAGCAACTGTAACAATGAAAGGCTGGAATCGTGTTCTCGTGGAGTTAAGCGATGTCCATACACGCCTGCCAGAACGACGGCGCAAATGACTGCACCACGACGAAATTCGACGGCAACCTCTTCGTTAGGCACGCTCGGAATACGAGAGCTTCTCGTCCAGTGTCGGCAAGACGTACGCCTTGCCGAGCCCAAAGAGTTTCCCAAAATTAAATTGAGGGCACTCTGGCGCTGCGATCGTTCAGCGACCAAGGGAATGATGGGTAGGACACACGTTTGCCTAGTATTGGTACTTTCGGGCGGCGAATCGTACTTGCGGCTTCGTTTATTGCTGTGTTTTGATTTTGTTTTGAAAGAAAAAACAAACCATTTTCAACTTAGTGACTTGATTCGAAATAGTAAGCCTAAAATAATAAGGTTGTGAAGCGCAAACGGTGAACATTTGCTAATTTATTTTTTCATGAAAAAACAGCTCCAAGCCACACGAACACACACGGAGCCAGAAGCAAGCCAGAAGTACGAATATTAGACAAATGTGTGTACTACCCATCATTCCCATGCTCGCTGAAGCGCCGTGTGTTGCAGCTCCCATAGACACTAGCGCCAGAGTTCCCTCTAGTGTATATTGAGAAACTCTATGGCCGAGCCTACCGGTGAAATAGGTCGTTCTGTCGGTGGCGGCGAGTGAGACGACAGAGGCGAAAACGTGCCGCCAGTGTGCACGCACCTGGCCACGCTGCGGGCGGTCCGGGTGGTTCTAATACTAAGCGGTGTGGGAAGATGATAAAGCTTTAAGCCTAACTGTATGATTCATGGCTGAGTGACTTAGTTTAATATAGTGTAATCTAAGAAATTGTAGCAGAAACGTCAATAAGTGGACCTTCGTTGTCGAGGCACCAACATACTTTTACACATTTCACTTGGAGAGTGTTACTTAGCAGTAGTCAGTTAAGTGGTTGGAGTGCCCATTTCACCACCACCCCAACGCCACAAAAATACACTAACACAAACACAAAGATACATAAAAAGATTTTGGGGGCTCCTTGAAGTCCTCTCTACGCTTTTGATACAGTGAAGAAAGTTGATATGAATTTCCATGCTCCCCATTTCTATGTAGCTGTGGCTTCGCCACACATACGTACGTAATGCAGTGAAGCAAAGCTTGAAACATCGCGTATATTGTTTTGTTAATTATTTTTCTCCTTCTCTCAGGTCCCATTGCTCACGCACACCATACTAGAACTTCAGTGGTTGTGTTTCACACGATTGTTCGAGTGTTCACTTGTCGTAAGCTGTTCTCAGCCATCGCGTGCAAGTACATTTCGCCATTTGTTCGCGAACGAGAAAGTACGCGCTCCAGTTGACAAAACCGGGGGAAGATAAGAAATATTTCTGTGGCCGTTGCGCTTATCCAACGAAGGTGGAGATGCAATCGGCGTCCTCATTTGCAACGACACGGCTCGCTTGTCGGCTGGTCGCCCTCGCCCACGGAAGCTCTCTGTCCGGCCGTAGCAGCCGACGTAGGACGCAGAGAAGCGGGGACCAGCGACAGGCGTTTTCTACGAGACGCCGAAAGCTGAAAAATTGATGTCATCACTCGCAATTCTGTGCTGTCCATGTGTACGTAGAACTGGAGTGAAATCGACACTCAGATCTCTGAAGTATTGTAGGAATGCACCAATCGACATAGTACAGCGTCTGGTCTGACCTCATTGGAACTATCATTTCCATTTCCTTGTTGTTCTTGTATTCTAGTTTGCGTTTCATAAGTACACGACATCATCCAGAGTTATTTTCTACTAAGTGTAGAATACGTTTATCGACATTTCTAGCAAATAAAAATGAAACATCACCGCTCATTT